GGGAAGAGACATGGGGTGGGAAGGGGGGTTGGGGGCAGGAGGAAGGAGGGGGTGGAAGAGGACATTGAGGGCTGGTGGGGGAGGATGGAGGAGGCAGGACAGAAGTGGAGGAGGGGGTCCAGGGAGGAAGCAGAGGCGACTGGAGAGAGGAGGAGGCCAAGAGAGGGGAGGTCCTAGCCGGTTTGGCTCAATGGATAGAGCGTCGGCCTTCGGACTGAAGGGTCCCAGGTTCGATTCCGGCCAAGGGCACATGCCCAGGTTGCGGGCTCGATCCCCAGTGGGGGACTCGTAGGAGGCATCCGATCAATGATTCTCTCTCATCCTTGATGTTTCTATCTCTCCCTCTCCCTTCCTCTCTGAAATCAATAAAAACATTTTTAAAAAAAGAGGGGTGGGGAGAAGTGAAAAGGGAGGAGGGGTTCGGGGAGGGGGGCATGGAGGAAGGGGTGCGGGAGAGGGCCAGGACCAGGGGAAGGAGACAGGAGAGGTTAGGGAAGGGAAGAGAGGGTTTGGCGATGGAAGAGTGTCTGGATATGGGAAGTAGGTTAAAGGACTAGATAGAGGATGTCAACTTAGTGAGAGGATTGGAGGGGGGAGTCAGAGGAAGTGGGTGAGAAGGGGCTGAGGAGGAGGGAGAGGGTTAGGGCATGAGGTAAGGGGTCGACGCAAGGGAGCGGGTATCGGGGAATGAGTAGATCTGGCGAGTTGAGGGGCGAGGGTAGGAAAAGGGCATCAGGGTCAGAGAAAGGGGCCAGAGGAGGTGGCAGGGCCGGGGGAGAGGGACAGGGATGGAGACCGCCCGGGGACCAGCTGCAGGTGGAGGCTTGGGCAGGGGGGGAGGGTAGCTAGGCCAGAGGTGGGTCTTTTGGGGGTGGGGACAGCTGTGGGGTGATCTGGCACCCTGAGGAGTTCAGTCTCCCCCAGGGAGGGGGTCATGGGACTGGAGGCCTTTGAATGAAGGCAGAGGGAGGGTCCCAGTGGCCCAGGGTTACCCCCAACACCTCCACCCCCCTCCACTTCCTCCCTGGCAGAGAAACTATTTCCTGTCCAGCGCTATTTCTGCCCATCCGTTTCCAGAAGGCGGGGGCTCCAGTCACCCCCTTCTCACCTCCCTGCAGTGCCCTCCCAGTCCCCAGGGAGCAGGGGCTGAAATAGCCTCTGGCCAGGATGTGGAGGGCATCAGAGGACTCGGCAAGGGCTGCCCGTGGGGGGGGGGGTAGGGGGGGAGAGGATGTAGAGACAGGGTTGGGTGGGGCTGCATGAAGGTGGGGATTGGGGCAGGGTTGGGGATTCGGATGGAGGTGAGGATGGGGATGAAGATGGAAGCTGGGATGAGGGTGTCTAGGGTTAGTTAGCGTGGGGTTGGGCTGAAATCGGTGGAGGGGGATGGGAAAGGGATTGAGAATGACATCTGGGGTTTGGGGGAGGAATGGGGCTGGAGATGTGGGTGGAGTGATTTCGGTGAGAGCTGAGGATGGGAAGAAGGTAGGGGTGGGTATGAGTTTGAAGAGATGGAGAATGGGTGAAGTGGAAGGTGGAGGTTGGGGGGTTGGAATTAGGACCCAGGATAGGGGTGGAGATGGGGTTAAAAACAAAGGAGGAGGCTGAGTTTGGGGTTGAGGTTGAAATTGGGGGCCGAGGGGGACTAGGACTGAATGAGGAAGTTGGGGAGGGGAATGGGGTGGACGGTGGGTGTGGAGATGGACCTGGGGTTGGGGGTTAGGAGTAGATGAAGAGGGGAAAGGGTTGAAGTTGTACTTGGGGGTGGGATTAGCATAGGGAAATGGGTCGAGGGATGGGACTGGACCAGTTGGCGGTTGCCATGGTGTCGGGCAGAGCGATGAGGTTGATAATGGCATTTGGAGAAAGGAATAGGTTGGGGATACGCGTGAGATATGCCTCATGGTGGAGGCTGCTGCTGAGGTTGGACTAAACATGGGATAGAAACCAAAAAGGCGTTAAGGAAGCCACGAGCTTGGGGTAGGAGTGGGGTTGAGGATACAGACGGCGGTGTTATGAGTTGAATTGTCCCCCCCCCCCGAAAAACCAACAACAACAACCATGTGAAGTCCTAACCCCCAGGACCTCAGAATGGAACCTTATTTGGAAATAGGCTCTTTACAGAGGCAATCAAGTTAAAATGAGGTCATAGGGGGTCCTGATCCAATCTGATGGGTGTTCCTATAATAAGGGGAGACTTGGCCTGACCAGTTTGGCTCAGTGGATAGAGCGTCGGCCTGTGGACTGAAGGGTCCCAGGTTCGATTCCGGTCAAGGGCATGTACGTGGGTTGCAGGCACATCCCCAGTAGGAGGTGTGCAGGAGGCAGCTGATTGTTGTTTCTAACTATCCCTCTCCCTTCCTCTCTGTAAAAAATCAATAAAAATAGATTTTTTAAAAGACCAAAAAACGAAATTCTAAAAAACAAAAACAAAACAAAACAAGGGGAGACGGGCACCGAGATAGACGTGCGCCGAAGGAAGGTGATATGAGGAGTCCCGGAGAGGAGGCGTGTGAAGTTAGGGGACTGGAGTGATGCAGCCACGAGCCCAAGAGACACCAAAGATTGTCGGCAAAGCACCAGAAGCTGGAAGAGGCCAGGGAGGAGCCTCCAGGGAGGACTCCGCTACAGGTCTCGGTGGGCATGGCCCTGCCAGCACCTTGACTTTGGACTTCTAACCTGCAGGCTGTGAGAGAATACGGCTCTATAGCTTTAAGACCCATAGTTCGGGGAACTAACACAGGTGGTGGGAGATTTGGGGTGATGTAGTCAGGAGATAAAGGTAGACGTTGGCATGGACCTGAGTTTAAAAACGAAGCTTGGGGATAATAGAGACCATTATAAACTTTTGAACAATAATAGATACAGAGGCAGAGCTGCCTCAAACAGATTGTCAAACTGCAGCGGGAAGGCCAGGGAGGGTTGGGGGGCAGGAGGGAAGGGGGTAAGAGATCAACCGAAGGACTTGTATGCATGCATATAAGCATAACCAATGGACATAAGACACTGGGGGGTAGGGGAGGCCAGGGGATTGTCAAGGGCGGGGAAAAAAAGGACACATATGTAATATCCTTTGTAATACTTTAAGCAATAAAAAAATTTAAAAAACAAAAACAAAACAAAACAAAACAAAAATAAATAAATAAATAAAAACGAAGCTTGGACATGGGTTGAGGTGGGGATGAAGTTGAAGGTCAAGGCTGGGGCCACTGAGGTTCGGAGTGGGAGGGAAGAGGAGAAGGGGTTGAGGGTGAAGGAGGAGGTTGAGGTGGGGGTGGAGTCTGGGGCTGGGGCTGGGCACAGGGTGGAGTTTGGAGGTGAGGGAGGGGCATGAGATCAAGGTCGAGTGTGGATACTTTGAAAGGAGATGGAACTGAGGTTGAAGTTGAGGGCACTG